CTTTTTATTCAATCCTACACCTAAATACAATCCTCTAAATTCAACCTTCCTTTCTATTTAATCCTACACCAAGATACAATTCCTCTAAATTCAACCTTCCGTTAAATTCAATCCTACACTTAGATACAATTCTCATATATTCAACTTTCCTTTCTATTCAAACCTATACTTAGATACAATTCTCTGGATCCCTTTTTATTACTATTAAAACTTATACATGTAAACAATTAATCATTAATGTATATCAATCCTTCCTTCCTTCCTTCCTTTATTTTCTAGTGATCTCTGTTTTGGTGTCTGCTTGTCTGTTTGGTTGGATGTCCGATCATGAACCCTGGACCTATTCTCCTCAAATATTAATTGGGGAACTCATTTTAGAACCACAGGAACTGATTGAGTGTGCTGATTACTATAGGGAAAGGTTAGTTTCCAGGTAAAGCAGGGTTCTCAAGCTAGAGTATTAGATAAAATAGATCTATTCTTCAATTAGAGTATTAGATAAAATAGATCTATTCTTCAATTAGAGTATTAGATAAAATAGATCTATTCTTCAATTTATTGAATCCATCCTCTCATTCAAGTCTCAAACCATTTATAGAATTCAAACACATTGTCATTGAATGCAGAGCGAGAGCGAGAGAGAGAGATTAAATATATTACAAATCATCTAAATTTAAAATGTAATTCCTACCCCCCCCCCCCTTCAATACCTACTGTATACAAGTGGCAGATATAACGACTCCACCCTTCTCTATATTTTCCTGCTTCCTTCACTGATTATTTATATAATTTAATTCAAGTGTTTATTATTCGTAAACCCTTCTTTAACATTTAGAGGAGTTTGTTTAGAGTGGGTCAATTTTTTTTACTTTTCAAATGGGGGGGGGGGAGCACACCACCTGTTTGGACATGAAACCTCCCATGGAACTTATAGATTTACTAATTTAGAAAGGGGACTAAACCCCATTAGTCTCCCCTTTACATTATTCTGCTTACAGTTACAATAGGTGACACTAATAAAACAGATTTAGAAATTATTATTAGAGATTTTTACTTCATATTTGTAGTTTAATACAGAGAATATTTCCTTAAAGTTATATTTCTCAATTGAAAGTGAATATTTGAAGTTTAATGAAGAAAATATTTCCTATTAGCTATTATTTGTTTTTTATATTTCTCAATTTAGCAGCCCTCTCTGGGTGGCGAATAATCGCGTAACACAAAAAAGTGAATATTTGTAGTTTAATACAGAGAATATATCCTAACAGCTATTATTTGTTGTTTATATTTCTTAATTAGTTGAATATTTGTAATTTAATACAGAGAATATTTCCTATTAGCTATTATTTGTTGTTTATATTTCTTAATTAGTTGAATATTTGTAGTTTAATACAGAGAATATTTCCTAATAGCTATTATTTGTTGTTTATATTTCTTAATTAGTTGAATATTTGTAGTTTAATACAGAGAATATTTCCTAATAGCTATTATTTGTTGTTTATATTTCTTAATTAGTTGAATATTTGTAGTTTAATACAGAGAATATTTCCTATTAGCTATTATTTGTTGTTTATATTTCTCAATTAAAAGTGAATGTAGTTTAATGCAAAGAATATTTTCTTGTATTTACTATTTCTATTTATATATATCTTTCAAGTGTATTTTATTTATCTGATCACCATAAACTAATGAATGAAAAGTATGATTAGATGATGATTCATTCTGAGTAAACAAACGTACTTATTTTGTAGCACAATCATTGAGACATATTTCAAGCTAGGGTCGGTAACCCATCTGCAGTAAAGGGGTGACAGGTACCAAAAGTAGAGCTGGGTTCTTTTGGGTTCTTTGAATATCAGTCAAAAATACAATACAAATTAAGAGGTTGGTCTCAATCACAATTCTCTCAAAACATTCAAATAAATCAATAAAAGGGAAAGCTCCATATTGAGGTTTGAGATAGTTTATATAGGCAATTATGAAAAATAAGATCCAAATTCCTCTACGCCGCCCCAAACCCCCTTTTTTAGATTGCTAATATTGTTAGTTTAAGCCACTAATTATTTTTTCCTCCATTTTAGAACGTTTACCTTTAAAAACAGGACAATCTGAGATTTATCGTTTCATAATGAAAGGAAAAAACCTCGTAATTCAAGCTTACAATAAAAAGAAAATACTACTAGACAGAGGGCTTTAAAGCACCATCGCTTAATTTCGAGTTTCATATACTTTAGTAGTCTCAACTCTAACGTTCAAAATTAGAACAGAAGTGATTTTAGTTTTGAAATTAACATCAACTCTAAAAAAATAGTTGCAACATATTTCAAGAGTTGAGCAGTATCCAAAATCCGCGTTATTTTGCAAAATAAACTTTGAAAACGTAAAGTCATTCTGTCCTAAAAACAAGAACAAACAAACAAACTGTTGATATCTTGAATAAGAAGTATGTAGTTAATATGTTGTCTCGTCTGATATAAGCCAGGTGTGCACACATATAATAATTGCTTGGGTTTAGGATCGCTTCTGGGTTTTATATCAACAGTACCTATATAAGTGCAATTAAAGGCATTGTTCCCTATTTTTGAAAAAAAAAACACTATCGCGGATTCATATTTTTAAAAAGAGGAACATAAATGGATATATTGACTTAACGATGTCCCAGCGTGTTAAAATTCATGAATTCTTTCTCTGCCATGGAAACAAAAATCTTAAATTATGTTGATTTATAATCAAATATAATTTGGCATACATATTCATATAAAACAATGACACTTAAAATAATTCCTGAATTTAGAGATAATTGTGATAATCAAAATTGTTCATGATAATAAAAACAATCTTTTTTTGTCTAATATGTTTGTCACAAGATTTAAAACGTGTTGAAAATTATTAGCAACAAACTCCAGCGGGAAATAGAATCGTAAAAAAGTAGAAATGCATATCATTCATATGACAGTTCAAAGATTTTGTTAATTTTGTTTATTAAAGACCCCGAAAGCCAAAAATGTCGTTTTTTTCACACAAAAAGAAACCTATATAACGAAAAGAAACCTATATATAACGAAAAGAAACCTATATATAACGAAAAGAAACCTATATATAACGAAAAGAAACCTATATATAACGAAAAGAAACCTATATATAACGAAAAGAAACCTATATATAACGAAAAGAAACCTATATATATAGCGAAAAGAAACCTATATATAACGAAAAGAAACCTATATATAACGAAAATAAACCTATATATAACGAAAAGAAACCTATATAACGAAAAGAAACCTATATATAACGAAAAGAAACCACACATTAAAAAATAATTCAAGGCTGTCATTTTATATTTTTGAGATAATGACATATTTTCTACTTTTCGTATTTTTTAGGTTTTTGTTTCATAAAGTTTGATATTGATTTTGTTATTAATTTTGATATTATTTTTGAAGATTAATTTTGATGGCGGGAGTTCGGTAGGACATTGAATTAAACACCACAGCGGGAAAAGCTTCAAAAGTAAGTTGACGAATTATAGTTGATAGCAAGTAACAAATCAAACTGAATATTAGTTTTGTTATAATAATATTGTTTGATGTTATTTCGTTATATTGAAGATTGCATGGACATCATTTGTTGTGTCTGTATTGGACACAAGAAGCATGCTGATAAAGAAATATTTGTCCCCCTTCCCCCCCCCCCCTCTCTAGTATATTCTAGCTTCAGCGTTTATCCCTTTGATCTGTCCTAGCCGCAGTCCTTGTTCTTCTTGTAGCGTGTGGCGCTCAAAAAAGAAAAAGTAAATAATGAGATCTGAAACTATACTTCCGGAGATATTTTTAGGAATTGTTTTTACAGGAAATGCTCTTAGCTTGGTTTAAAGATTCTGAATTTTTTTTTTTTACTTTAATTGCGAAAATTTAGTTTCTCGGTAGAATCGTTCATGTGCGGGTAAACGGCGGAGTTGGCAGTGCTGGAATCACAATCTAGTGTTAAATATATTTTCCCCTGCGGAGTTTATCTTTCCAAATTTCTACCGTTGATTCACTTTATCAATTGATTCACTTTTAACTTTAAATTAACATAAGATTCTTCCTTTGAAGTTTTGACAAAATGAGTTATCGTATTTGTTTCGTATCCTCAAAAATGTCACCATAATAGAAAAAAAATCATTTTATGTACATAGCTTACATTGATTTCTCTTCCACAGAAATTAAACAAATTACAATAACACAAATTTCATTTATCTTGAATTTTCCCTTTAGAATACTTTTTCTTCCTTTTTTATCCTTTAATCATTAATCATAATGTTAAGAAGTATAATAGTTTCATTGTCCAGGTTTCCTTAGTTCGATCATTCTTCAATCTTCAATTTTCATGCCAAATCAAAGTACATGACACAAAAGATATTGAAAATTTTAACTTTTTTTCACATATCCTTCATTTTTCATATTTACATCCTACAGGGAGTTCAAGTTAAAAAAATTTAAAAACGTTTTTGTCAAGAGGATTTATGTATTCGGTGCGTTGGCATTTATAAAACGAATCAAAAATAAATTCTTGATATGCAGAAATTATTCTGATTCATAATTATCTTATATAATAAAATCTGAGAACAGTGTTGTAACATTCGAGTTTCATACATAAAGTAACTGAACACTTGCCACAAACTCAAACTTTCGAGTCCTTTATCTTTGCAACCTGATGGTCTAAACCTTTAATATTTCAAGCTTTAACTATTAAATCTTGCGGAGGTTTGCAACATCAGGTTGCCATGATATAAGAATTAAAGTTTGTTGCAAGTGTTTATTTCTTTTTGAATATATTTTTAAGAAAAGCAAATATTTTAAATTTTAATCTTGTTCTAATCGAAACCACGAGTATTTACCACTTTGCTCTAACAGATAATATTTGCATCACTTTTGCGTCATTGTAATAATAAATTGCGTACAGCATTGGTATAAATGGATGGAACAGGTGGGAATACCGTAGTAAACCTAGAGATTCCAACGTCAACGCGTCACCAAAACACCGGGTATATCACTCGCGTCAGATTGACAAAAGCGTATGTTGGGGTTTTGTGAGGGGAGGGCGCATGGGGATTTAAAAATGGTTGGGTGGATATGGGGGGGGGGGAAGTTTTAAGCCCATATTCGTTTAATAGATTTTATTTATTTTCACGAATATGGTCCAAAACTAGTCAAACTATTTTTTAAAGGGAAAGAAAGTTATTGATTTTAAATATAATTTGGAAAAATACAAAATAACAAATATTATGTAAAAACAGTTTTTGAGGTTTAACCAATTCAAAACCGTTGTAGTTTGATTTTTTAAAATGGTTTACTTTGATACAGCTTAAGTAAAGTGCAAAATGGCATATGTATTTAATATATCTGCTATTTCAACTCTACACTTTAATTTGTAATGTGTACAAAGTGACACATGTATTTAATTTAGTTGCTATTTCAACTTTACATTTTAATTTGTAAAGTGTACAGTAAGTAAAGTTCAAAGTGACACATGTATTTAATATAGTTGCTATTTCAACTTTACATTTTAATTTGTAAAGTAAAGTTCAAAGTGACACATGTATTTAATATAGTTACTATTTCAACACTACACTTTAACTTGTAAAGTGTACAGCTTAAGTTAAGTACAAAGTGACACATGTATTTAATATAGTTGCTATTTCAACTATACACTTTAATTCGCAAAGTGTACAGTAATTAAGTGCAAAGTGACACATGTATTTAATATAGTTGCTATTTCAACTCTTCACTTTAATTTGTAAAGTGTACAGTAAGTAAAGTTCAAAGTGACATTTGTATTTAATATAGTTTCTATTTCAACTATACACTTTAATTTGTAAAGTGTACAGTAAGTTAAGTGCAAAGTGACACATTTATTTAATGTGCGTAATTTATTAAACCTTCACACTTTAATTGCTGTAGACTTTACATTCTGTACACTTTACACCTTAAGCACTTACACTTTACACTTTAACTAGTGTACTCTTTGCACATTAATAACTGTAGACTTTGCACTTTACTTTACATACACTTTACACATACACATAAAATGTAGTACACTGTAAATGTAGTTTTTGTACTCTTTGCACTTTAATAATTGTACACTTTATATCTTAATTATTCCCGATATTTGCTTCCGTTATCTATTTATCACTGCATTTGCCCAGTACGCAATGCGCAGCGCACATTATTTTGACATTTGGCCATCTGTTATTCTTTACAAGATAATTCCAATCTAAGGGGGGGAGGGCAGGCCTTTCATCGTAAAATACAAATTAGTTACAGGGTGGTCGAAAATTTGATAAGATTCTAACCCAACTGCTGGTTTTACGGTAATACTCTTAATTTTCAAATAATAATTAGACATATAGCAGGGTTACCGGCAAAGGAAGATACTTCATTGAGACGACTGTACAGAATTTATACCGTCAGTTTCTTTATATTCATGATTCACTGCAACTATAAACTTCTTTCTTTTTTGCCAAATCCTTAATCAAGCCATTTAAAAACCATATTTAAGTCAGTTTACTTAATTTGAATTTTGGATCTTCATATTTTCAGAGTTTCAAGTCGGCATTACACCCTCATCCTTTGTGGTAACCCTGTTTAAGTAATTAAGTAATAACCAGTAACAGGGACATGTACAGGAATTTTATTAGTTGGGACTGGCCTTTTGAATACTCTATGAGGGGGGGGGGGCTCATTCTCCGTTGGGGCTTGAATGACTCATGAAAATCATAGTTATTCCTAACATTACTTCCTATGATAAAAATGCTAAAATCCAAATTGCACCAGTTCCATAAAGTTTTTTTTTGATACAGTTTCAAAACTAATTTGAAAATATTATTTTTTTTTTTAAATTCACATTCATTCACATTTTTTTCTTTTTTGTGTGAACACGTTACACATCTCGAAAGTAAGCCTGAAAAAAATTGTCAAAATATCAAAGTATCAAAATATCAAAATATCAAAATATCAAAATATCAAAATATCAAAATATTATCAAAATATCAAAATATCAAAATATCAAAATATCAAAATATCAAAATATTAAAATATAAATCCAAAACTTCTTTTTTGGAAGGATATTTGTCAGAGTATCAAAAAAGCAAATTTTTAGTTCAGATTTTTTCAATTTTTTTTCATAAATTTTGCTTCTAATTTGCTACTGTATATTTTTTGCAAAAAGGATTTGACATATTTGATGAAATAGTTTTACGCTAATTTTTAGTTCTTCTCAAATTTTAATATAAAATACAACCTAGGGTTCATGTTAAACTTTAGCCTTACCTTATTCTAGCTATTCATCAAATCTTACCTCGGCTGATCTTCCCAGAGGGAGAATGGGTTTAACTCATTCCGTCCATCTAAAAGTTCTGCGTCAATGCGTAAATAATATGTCAACAAGAATAATGAGTATACATATAAACCTATAATGACGCATCTAAAATGTGTTTGTATCTGCGTAGCGCCGTACTAAAAATTGTTTTACAAACTTTGCAAAATTAACGCATTTATGCAAAATTTTGTTTATATTTTGTAAAATTAACGCATTTATGCAAAATTTTGTTTATATTTTGTAAAATACAAAGTTCCTTTTAACACCCTTGCATATAATCTTGTAATCCATAAATAAAGCTTAATTAATTACTAAGATTATAGCAACGTGAAAAACAATAAATTAAATTGAACAATAAACTATAAATATCACGGGATTACAGTTATAGATATCTAGACATTTTTTATTAATTATCAGTTGTATGTATTTTTCTGTTTCATGATTCAAAGCCCGAACTAAAGATTTTAGTCTTTGTGCTATTTTTTCAGGTTGAATCTAAAACAATTTTGAAAGTGTTTTTAAGCACTGGTTTCAATTACTTGATCTCGATATTCACTTTGAAAACTTCTAAATTCAAAAGGTTCTTGTTTCTTTTATTTTTATCCAACAGATATTAGTTGAATCCTTTAAACGAAACAGGATACGGATAGTTGCTTGATCCATGAATTTACACCTCTGCAAAGTTTGTTTACTACGCAGAGTATACTTGTAATTTTACACTGTCATAACAAACTGCAGGCAAATTTACTATTGGCTGCCAAGAACTGTTAATTTGCAAATTATATTCAACTCACGGTAAACTTTGTATCTTCCTTGTTTCAGAAATTTCTGGAAGAATGACATATCATACTAGCTAATTTAAATTCTATATTTGCAAAAATCCATTCAATAAAAATCCGATCTTTTCAGAATATTAAGCTTCTTGAAATGGCGATACTAACTCACATACTTATCTTTGCACTCACATCACAAGCTGTCGTCTTTGCACAGGTAACTAGGAACTAAAACATTTTTATAACCTTAATATTTTTTCTTCTAAATGGCAGACGATATTAAAACAAAAATTTTAAAAAAGATGGTTCTAAAAATTTTATTTTTTTCTTCAATTTTTTAAATTTAGCCAATTAAATCAGAAAAATCTTATTTTCTATAATGAATACAAAGAAAAAGTTGTTTCAATAAAAGTAGAATTTAAAAGGAAAGTTTTTAACACATTAGAGGGGTCTGGAATCCTAGCTACTTAAAAAACAATGTATAGTTGTTGGATAAATCCCTTAAAAAATGTTTAAAAAAAATCTTAATTGTAGGATAATTATGGCACCCCAGAATCCCCATTATTGAGGCCATCGGCAAACCTTCGGTAATTATCAAATAAGAATTAAATCCTTCCTTCAGAAAAAAAATTGTAACATTTTGTATTTAGATTTAGTCCAGGATTCTCCAGCACACTTGGATCATCTGCTGGCTTCTCATCTTCATCAGGATTATCTTCAGGATTCTCCCCTTCATTAGGATCATCTTCAGGATTCTCAAGCTCAGTAGGATCATCTTCAGGCTTTTCATCTTCAGCAGGAACCTCATCAAACAATATCTTTATCGAAGACGTAAGCTTTTCATATTTTATTCGCTTAAAGGGAGTGTTCGCGAAAAATGCAAGGGGGTATAGGCTTAATGCGATAAAAAAGCGCTTTTGATCGCTACTAATCTTACTTCTATCTGTTGTGTCTATAAGGAGAAAATTGATAAAGACCTCTCATACCGAAGAGCGTAGCGCCCATACAAATTGAGGAAGTTGGAACATACGACTTAGACCGTAAAAAAATTAAATTAATATCAAACAAATCATTCAGATATTACAACCAATAGTCATCGATTATCTTTCGCCACATTTGTATATATTTAATATTTCATACTAGTTTTAATTTTGTTTTTTAAAATAATATTTAACTTACAACTTGTTTTCGAACATTCCTGGAAAATATGAAAATGTCGTCTTCATTACCAAAAATCCTCGAAACAGGAATAAACGTTTTTATAAGTAACTCTCAGATCATAACAATTAAAACATATTATGAAAAATCAACTATATATAAATGTGGCGAAAGACAATCGATGACTATAGGTTGTAATATCTGAATGATTTGTTTGAAATTTAATTGATTTTTTTACGGTCTAAGTAGTATGTTGCAATTTTCTCAATTTGTATGGACGCCATGTTATAATTTCAAGGGAACTCCCTTTAAGAGAGTTAGATGTTCTATTTACAATGGTACCCTGTTAACCTTCACCTGCTCAGCCATGTTGTGCATATCTTCATTTTCTTGTAGGAATGCTTTTTAGAGAAATTTTCACTTACAAGATTATGCATTTATCATGCATTCTTGATCAGACAGATCTTTTAATGGTACCATTGTTGACTATACATGCCACACCATTAAAAAAAAACTCTGCAGCCCCCCTAATTCAGTTTAATAAACGAATAATGAAAGAAATAGTCTACTTTAGTTTTGTTGGAAAGAGAGTGACGCCGATTAAAAATTGGAAACAACAAACATTTAAAAAATTTAAAACATTTTCAGAATTTCATTGAATTTTCTCAACCTCTTCCTTACTTGTTTTCCTTGCTTAGTTTTCTCCAATCTCAAGTCCAGGATCCTCCCCCAGCTCAGTGAGCTTATCAAACTCTCTGACATCCTCTACATTCTCTCAGGCATCAGGAACTCCTCCGACTACAACCTCTGCCTCCAGATCAGCAATCAACCCATCCAGGTCAATACTAGAAATCAACCCATACAGGTTAATACTAGAAATTAACCCATACAGGTCAATATTAGAAATCAACCCATACAGGTCAATACTAGAAATCAACCCATACAGGTTAATACTAGAAATCAACCCATACAGGTCAATACTAAAAATCAACCCATACAGGTTAATACTAGAAATCAACCCATACAGGTCAATACTAGAAATCAACCCATACAGGTCAATTTCGGAAATGTTCTTAGCTGTTGAGGCGTTTTTTCCGGCGCTTAAAGGGACTGTTCCTTTTACTCCTATAAATGAAAAACAATTACTAGACATTTAAGTTTTTAAATTTAGAATTGATAAAATTCCTTTCTTGTCTTTACTTTTTGGAGAAACAGCAGTACCCCACATCAATATTTGGATTTGAATATGATTAATTTAACAACTTTGTTTTTGACATTTAAATTATTTTTCGAGAAAAAAACTTACAATTCAGAAAAATAATTTGTTTAAATATTTAGATTTAACCCTGTTTCTGATCCTCAGCCATCATTTGCCCGTCAAACATCTTCCAGACTTCCAGCTCTTCCAGCTGCTTCAGCTAACACAGGTTTATATACTGTCCTATTCTAAAAGTTTGTGGCATTCATTCCAAGCAACCTAATTTTACCAATATCTTTTTATAAAACAATAATCACAAAATAGTCCTGCCATTTCCAAAATGAGGTCTGCCATTTTAAAATTGAAATTTAAACAAAATTCTTAATTTCTCTGAAGGATTTTTTAAAACAAAAAATGGAAATATCAGGACTAGGGCTATTTTCTGATTATTTTTTCATGAAAAAATATCGCTTGAATTTGGATGCCTTTAAGCAATGCCGTAAACTATTTCTGAGTTCAAAGACGACTTTGAAGTTTTCAATCAATCAAAATCATTCCGCTCCAGTTCAGTTAGAATAGGAATGTTTCGAATTTTAAAATGTCTATAGAAGCGCAAATCTGTTTAAATTAGAGATTAATATTGTCAATATTTGATTGAATTGGAACTGGTGTTCTTTTATGGAGTTTTTGAGAATATTTGTTGGACAAACATTTAGAAAATTCTCGGCCTGAGATTCCCAGAAGGTCGATCAGTGTAAGGCTAATCAGCCAGAGACTGGTCTTTTTACAACATATTCTCCGCCTGAGATTCCCAGAAGGTCGATCAGTGTAAGGCTAATCAGCCAGAGACTGGTCTTTTTACAACATATTCTCCGCCTGAGATTCCCAGAAGGTTGATCAGTGTAAGGCTAATCAGTCAGAGACTGGTCTTTTTACAACATATTCTCCACCTGAGATTCCCAGAAGGTCGATCAGTGTAAGGCTAATCAGTCAGAGACTGGTCTTTTTACAACATATTCTCCGCCTGAGATTCCCAGAAGGTCGATCAGTGTAAGGCTAATCAGTCAGAGACTGGTCTTTTTACAACATATTCCCAGAAGGTTGATCAGTGTAAGGCTAATCAGCCAGAGACTGGTCTTTTTACAACATATTCTCCGCCTGAGATTCCCAGAAGGTCGATCAGTGTAAGGCTAATCAGTCAGAGACTGGTCTTTTTACAACATATTCTCCACCTGAGATTCCCAGAAGGTCGATCAGTGTAAGGCTAATCAGTCAGAGACTGGTCTTTTTACAACATATTCTCCGCCTGAGATTCCCAGAAGGTTGAACAGTGTAAGGCTAATCAGTCAGAGACTGGTCTTTTTACAACATATTCTCCGCCTGAGATTCCCAGAAGGTTGAACAGTGTAAGGATAATCAGTCAGAGACTGATCTTTGTACAACATATTCTCCGCCTGAGATTCCCAGAAGGTTGAACAGTGTAAGGATAATCAGTCAGAGACTGGTCTTTGTACAACATATTCTCCGCCTGAGATTCCCAGAAGGTTGAACAGTGTAAGGATAATCAGCCAGAGACTGGTCTTTTTACAACATATTTCAGATTTTTTGATTTTGTCAACTACTCTGTAAAAACATTATATTAAAGAAAAAAGAACCTTACTTAATGTTGATTATTGGTATATTCCCTTGAAAATTGCGAAACCGTCCCGTTAAGAATATCATTTAATCCTAATAAATCTAGTTTTAATATGATTACTTTTTGTAGGAGATATTACTGGAGGAATTGATTTCAGCAAGGCAACTAGAACTCCTGATGGCAGACTTTGCGTTATTAAGGTTAAATTAAGATATTCAAGATATTATCCCTTTAAACGAAATTATTTTTTAAATATGTCTGAAATGTACATTGACTGTTCAGGAGGAAAGTGTTGAGACAGTATCTAAGGATCCTATCCTAGCCTGTACCCATAAGAACCTGGAGAAGTGTCACTACACCTATGTCACATATTTCCGACCTGCTCAGGTTAATGACTTTATCTTGCAAATCATCTAAATATAACAACCTTTATTTAAAGGTTCATTTCACCCATATTCCTGTAGAAGTACAAACTCCGTTTACTGTTTAGCACTGATTTCATAATTGGATGATGATATAGATAGAAAGATAGATAGATGTTTTCAAAAGTTTATATTGGTTTGTTATTCTTAAAATACAGGGTGTCCCAAAAAACATGGGAGTTCAATGACGAATTGGATATCGTCTTTGTTATGAATTAACATTGTAATACCTAATTTCAAAAGCCTTAATATTATTACGTCTGCTAGAGTTTATTTTATGAAAAGGGTAAAAGACTGTAAAGATGTGTCTATAATGTCTCCGCAAGATGAATAGTGAAGACGGACAAGTTTACTCTGTTTGTAAACTGCAATTTTCTTGTTTTACTAAGTACAACCGTATGCAGTCAAAACATAAACAAACAGAATGTAAACATAGCAGACGAAACTCTTACAGATTACAGCTTTCTCAGTAGGTTTCACTGTACTAAATCAAAGAATTATACAAAAAGACGATATCGAATTCTTCACTGAATTCCCATGTTTATTGGGACACCCTGTAGCTTTATGAAAGTTTCCGTAAGACCTGTACGGAACCAAAATGGTTTCGGAAGAAATCGGAAACCCTAAACAATAATTAGGAAGACAAATAAGCCGAACTTAACGCTCAAAGATGTTTCTGAAGTCTAGAATAATCGATACTTGTTCCTCAAATAAACATAGAATAAGATTTCTTGGATTATTTCGTCAATATCAGAATGTCACAAAAGTCTCAAATCTTGAATTACCAAAACCTAAATCTATAAACGATTTTGTATCTTATTTTTTTAATATCCTAATATTGAAACAAATCCGGAATTTCTGGAAAAAACGCTGTGATTATTTCAAGAGAAAATTATAAAACTTACCAAGTCCTCATGTGCATCTTGAGATAAACAATTATCTAAGTTGTATTCCTAATTAAAAAATAGCATATTGGGTTTACTTTCAAACAGGTGAACAATCTCTTTAAAATGTTAAAATGTTACCAGGAGGAGGTATGTGAGGAGAATTTTGAGAAGAGATGTCAAATCACGTTCAGACAGGAGGCTACCAAGGAAACTATCAGAAAATGCTACAAGTAAGTGATTAATTGATAAAGAGATTCATCTTCAACAAAATCAAGAAACTGAGTTTTTGCTAAAAAGCTCAATTTTCTAATGCCTAAATCTTTGCAGGCTGGAAGTGTAGACCTTTGATATTTTAAACTTATTCCAATTGATTTAACAGATTTCATAGTTAAAATATCAAAGGGCTATGACATCGGGTTAGAAAATCAGTTCCTTTAACAGGAAATAGATAACTTCAACAAAATAACAAAAAATTAGAAAAAATGTTCTAAAAATAACAAAAAATTAGAAAAAATGTCCTGATTTCTCTTGCATTGCTTTAATTTCCAAAAGAAAAAGAATTAGCTTAACTAATTTTTTTATTAAAAGTTTCAAGCTCTGCCTTAACATTCAGCTTTAAACCTTGAACCTGAATATTTTTGTTAAGATCAATAATTTTTTTTTCAATCCATGGACATGGAAAGTTATGTCTAAAAGACATGTATTGCATCCTGATATTTACCAAGCTAACAAGTAAATATAAGCTATTTAGTTGATAATTACTTTGTTTAATCCCTAGGCCCCAGGAGAAGGTCTGTAACGGTCAAGGAGAAGAAGAATGTAGAACTGTTTACGAATCATCTTGCTCAACCAAGTAAATATATAAGATTATATAAAAATGTTACAAAAATTGCTGTGTCCTTGTTCAGTAGTCTGTAGTAACCACTTTTAAACCCGTTTTTACCATTTACTTTTAAACCTGTTTTTAATTTTTCAATAACCAAAGAGTTACTGAGATTATTCCAATAGACTAAACTAAGTTATACATTTGCCAGGTATATTGAGAAGACCCCTGGGAAGTTTATCGGAGACACTTCTTGTGAAAAACTTCCCGTAGAGGTAAAAATGCTTGTAAATAATTTTTCTCTTGCTTTCTTGAATTATAAGCGTGAAGACATAATTTGAATAGATTAGTTTTTCCTAATTTTTGTGGGTTAATCACATGCATGGAATATTTTCCTAATTTTTGTGGGTAAATCTCATGCATGAAATATTTTCCTAATTTTTGTGGGTTAATCACATGCATGGAATATATTCTTAATTTGATGTAAATTAGATTCCTAAACCATTCTTAATCCTTGATCCTTTAACCTTATTCTTAATCTCTTATCTATTAATCTTTAAACAATTTTCCTTTAGTTTTAATTCCTGATCAACTTTTCTTGATTTTAATCCCTAATCTGTTTCCGTAATTCTTAATCCCTAATCAACTTTCATTTATTCTTAATCCAAGATTAACTTTCCTTAATTCTCAATCCCTTATCCCTTTTCATGCATTCTTAATCCCTGACCAATATTCCTTTTTTTCTTACTCCCTGATCAACTTTGCTTATAACTTAATCCCTGATCTCTTGCTTCAAATAATTTGATCCCTGATAAACATTAATTTTTTCTGAATCCCAGATCAACTTTCCTTAATTATCAATCCCTACTCAATCTTTATTCTTAATTCGTAATCCCAGGATCAAATTTTTTTGATTCTTAATCCCTGATCAACGTTCCTTAATTTCTAATCCCTGATTAACTTTTCTTCATTCATAATCCCTGATCTCTTATCTTGATTATGAATTCCTGCTCAAGTTTCTTTAATGCTTAATCCCAGATCAACTTTCCATAATTGTTAATCCCTGGTCAACTTTACTAGATTCTTAATCCCTGATATCTTCCCTTTGTGTTCAGATTTGTGGACGAGGATGCGTGAATAGAGAAGGAGCAGAAGAATGCCATAACAAGGAAAATTATAAAATTTTACGATTTATCTGAAGAAGTTGTAATAACAATAATAATATTTCAGGAGATTGATACTCTTGTAGATATTCCTGAAGAGGTTTGTGATCTCAACCCACAAAAGACATGCAGGCTTCAGGTCTGTAATTATAACCGGGACAAGGTTTAAAGTAGTTAAGCTATGTACACATAGTTAAACCACTTCTCTTGTGCGCCGGTTTAAGTTAAATGAAGGTGGCTTTAAGAAGTTCAACCTTATCTCGCTATTTATAAAGTTTGATCCCTGAAGTGATAAATTTTGAATATCAAATGTAAATAGCTTTTTCTTTAGACAAAACTGGTTCCTAGCTTGAAACCCAAACAAGAATGTACAACTGTACCTCAGGAAACATGCACATTAAACTTCAGGTTTGTACAATTGTACATTGGTACAACTTTACAAAATTATGTAAAAATACTTTTAAACAATGATTCAGATTATTCAGAAATGTTTTTGGTTAATTAGTTTTTTTGTATGTTATATTATAGTTTTGAAAATGATTATGTACAGCTTTTTTTAAACAGTGATACCCACAAAGGATGAGACTGTAAAGACGATTCGACGTGAAACTTTAAAAATATGACGAATCCGCGATTTAATCAAGTATTCTGCCTTAATACACATTGTTTTCTAATGACTTATTTTAAAGATTTGGAAAAGAGAGAGACAAGTTTACAGTTGCAGGGAATCATGAATATATACGAATCAAAACTTCAAATGACAGTATAAATTCTGTAAGTCGTGTATGAGATCTCATGTGGGTAATCCTGTAGCAGAACAGGGTTTTCGTTTCATAATTTTGACCAACTTTGAATATTGCAGTCAGCCTAAGAGAGGAAAGAAGCCCCTGCGTACAGAATGGTGCCTGGATACAGAAACAGCCGCAGCAGCTGATCCTATTGCGCAGTACAGTAGAAACGGAAACCAGTTCTAAAGTACACTACAATCCAGTTTTAGAGTATACTAGAAACCAGTTCTGGAGTACACTAGAAACCAGTTCTGGAGTACAATATAAACCAGTTCTAGAGTACACTACAAACCAGTTCTAGAGTACACTACAAACCAGTTCTGGAGTACACTAGAAACCAGTTCTAGAGTACAATAGAAACCAGTTCTAGAGTACACTAGAAACCAGTTCTAGAGTACACTAGAAACAAGTTCTAGAGTATACTAGAAACCAGTTCTATAGTATACTAGAAACCAGTTCTAGAGTACACTAGAAACCAGTTCTAGAGTACGCTAGAAACCAGTTCTAGAGTACACTAGAAACCAGTTCTAGAGTATAGCGAAAACCATGGTTCTAGAATGAAAAAAAACCCAGTCAACCAAGATTTGCTAGAACATTTAAACAGCATTTATTTAAATTGTGGATTTGTTATGAAATCTTTAGAAAAATCTTGGTTTGATTGAGAGCAAGTCTGTTGTTACCAAATATCAAACAAAAATGGGCATTATTATTTTATGATTGAAATTAGTTCAAGGCATTATAATCATGAATTTATTTCTGTTCATTCCATAAGATTATGAATTAATTTATTTTTTTCGTATCTATTTATTTATTTATTTTATTTATCTTAATAAATCCATATCACAAAACAAACCATTTTTTTATGTTTAAAGCCTGAAATTAAATAGGAGAGTACAGCCTAGGCCAGTTGTTCAACTTTCAAATTGAAGAAAAATAAGAAAAAGATTTTTTTTTCAATAAGTATCATTCAGTTTAAATCAGCCCAGCTTTCAAAGGAACTGACAGTATACTTACAGTATAACAGTATACCTCATCTCTTTTAAACCTCATATTTAAGACCTTTGATATTTAAAAAAAATAATCCTGCCAAATCAAGCAGTCTAAGTTTGAAATATCAAAGGTTGTCATCAGCAAGCAAAGATATCGGGATTCGAAATAATTATAGTGTACAACAAGTATTTGTTCCGCTATTTAATCTGATCTAATAAAGAATTTAGGATTTATAAGTTCATAAAAATACATTTCAGCAACAAAAAATTCTTTAAGGTTTATTTTAATCCTGTATATTTGAGAAATTAATTAAACGAATACAAATTTTAAGTTAATTTATTAAGTGCTTGATAAGTAATTAGGAGTACAAATGCTGAAATGTGCAATGTTCATTATTATTGATTGTGTCATAATAAGCTTGGTACTTCCTGGCTTGATAACTGATAAGCATGGAATATAAAGCAGTTGTATTAGATTTGGACACGGATCCACTAAAATCAAGTATTTTCAAACCTATTCATTTCATTCTTAAAGACTGCAGGGGCTTTGTTATTTCTTCTCCATTTATGGAGTACTCTCTAATTAACAGTGCCAGGTACCCTTTCACCTAAGTTTGAGGAACCATAAGGAATCTGAATAAAGCCACAAACCACTTTTATAGAGAAACCGCAAAAGGATATTATCAATTTTTAGATAGAAAAAGGATACCTTATAGTTTTTGCTTCCGACAAAGGTTTAAATGGCACTATTGTGAATCGGCACCAAATTATTTCCTAAAACTCGTTGTTAAGAAATAGATGAGTTCATTGCACCAACAACAACAATATCATGTCACAAGTTCAAATTATTGCTATCTCATTGATCCTGGAACTAGAGCAACAATACTAACTTCAAATAAAAATTTAAACATTTCACATAAATAAATAAATAAATGTGATCATAAACTTGTATAAAGAACCCGTTTGGCTGAACTTTTGTATGAGATAGCGATAATAATTCCAGCATCTGCAGGATATTTAAAGGAACTTTATCTTGTACAAAACACTATTTGGATCGTTGCTTGCTATCTATAAGTTCCGAACGCTTTAAAATAAAAATTAAAATTTGAGTTTCAGCCAATTGTAAGCAAACCCCGATTTTACAACGCTGTTAGCATCACTGTAACGTGAACAAATGATGTCACAGTCAATTGGGTTAAAAAAGGAAAATTTTGATGATTAATATCAATTCTTTAATCATATTTTTTTTTCAGCATTTAGACTGAACTTAAGTATATTTTACAAAATCAATTGAGTGAAGAAGTAAGCATATTTCTAGTTGATGTAATGGAATCCAGTTTACAAAAGGTAGCTATATAAACTTTGCAAATTAAAAATTAAAAAAAAAACTTTAAATAATTCAATTAAATCTTATTTAGGCAAGTCAGGACAAAGTGATCAAAGTAAGCTATGCCAAACTTGGGCGCTTCCTGCCCCTTTTTATTTTCTTATTTTAAAATTTTTTTTTTTTTTACAGGGTTACCAATAAAGAAACATTAAATTATAGTCTCATCCCTGTATCTGCCCGCATTTATCCTTTGTAAATTATTAAACAATGAAATATAAAATTTTTCCGATTTTTTAGATTTGGGAGAATAAAAAAATTTCAAAACTTGTTTTATTGGAACATTTTTAAAATCTTTCTTAGTTCATGTAAGAGCAAAATATTTTTTAAGAATTAAACCAATCATAACTGAGGGATTTTTTGCATTGGTACTTTTGGATTTGAAGTTATTTAATCAACAGTAACAGATCTGAAAATAAAATTTTGTAAGCCCCATGGAAAAAAGATATAAAAACTTTTGTCACATTGTACGTTTAATGTTTTGGTGTAGATGATATACCAAACCTCATAGAGTAAATTTACTAGATGTCAGTTAAACATTTTCAAAAAATATATTTCGGTCAGTTCTAACGAAAAAAATAACCAACAAAATTGAAAATAAAAAATGTTAAAAAATCACAAGAAAATAAACACATATATATTTTTAAAAAAATATAAACGAACTCAGATCTGTTGTATTTTGTGAAATAAACGATATTAAAAATACAATACTTAATCCTATTTCTAAGTGTGTCGTGCTGGGTGATGGAGCTGTGGGTAAAACTTGTTTACTCATGGTTTATGCCAAGGAATATTTTATGTTTAAAAATAAAAATAATTTGGAATTTAGATTTTTGTTTGTTTTACAATTCTCAACTCAATATTTGCAGCTTAAAGGGACTGTTAAAGGGAATGTTAAAGGGACTGTTAAAGGGAATGTTAAAGGGACTGTTACAGGGACTGTTAAAGAGACTGTTAAAGGGATTGTTAAAGGGACTGTTAAAGAGTGAAGACATATTTTTAAATGACCATTCGTTTGTATAATAGCATGTCAGATTCACGACGATACCGTTTAAACCTTTGTTTGATCGATTATATGTCAATTATCAAAATTATTTTCGATTGAGGTTTCTCTGCGGATTTTTCCAGCAGAGGAGAGAAGAAATTCATAAGTCATATGTCAATATGTTGCAAAATATAAATATGAAGATATCTTCCACATTATTTATCATATACATAACGGTTTTAAGAATGCTTTTGTTAATTGGGTATGCCCCTCTTTGAATGTATATAGGATTACTTGAAACTACGTGTATTGTCCCTTTAACATAAATTAACAATTGTCATAATCAATCAATCATCTGGATTGCATTAATTTCTTCCAGTTTGATAGGTTTAATAGAAAAATAGCTTATAGACAGAAAAATGAAAATTTATATAGCGGGGTTTTATCCTGGGTGCATGGTGGTAATGAAGGAAAAGAATTGAGATGAAAACTGAAACTTGAATAAGGTTTTATATTTATTTGTGTAAACATGAAATTGTTGGTTTAGGATCAGTTTCCAGATACATACGATCCAACAGGTACAATATTTTACAGTGAGGAAAGTGGTGCAAAATTTCAGCCAAATCGGAGACCCTATATGAATCTATTTTGTTATTTTATTTCAGTGTTTGATAATTACCAAGTAAAAGTTACAGTAGGAGAGGATACATACACAATAGCTCTATTTGATACAGCGGGTAAACTATTTACATTGATTACTAAATTGATTAATTAATTATATGTACTTTGCGTTCAGAGCGTATTGCACCCTTTTTTCTATTTACAATTTTAGGTTTAAAGTTAAAATGTTGCTCTTTTAGTCCCTAGTTTTTATTGTGCTCTGCATTAAGCAAAAATGTTCGTGGATTTTATTGTTTATATTGGCGCATTTTCATAAATGATAAATATCGACAATTTTTTCCGGCCAAAGTTGAGTTGCCACAAAAATTGGACCCGATTGGTTCAGCCGTTTAATGTTTATTGGATACTCATACAGACAGACTGAGTAAAGTATATTGATTATTATTCTGAAATCTGAAACCCTACACCACCAAGGGCTTTTCTATAAAATGTACTGATACATGGTTTTTAAAGAAAAACAGACGATAAGGAAACTGACCATATGATTTGTCTTATTCCAGATAGAAGAATGATAAATAAAAAATAAAAAAAATTTTAAATTTTATTTATATGTTTCTAGGGCAGGAGGATTTTGACAGGTTTCGACCAATGGTGTTCCCAGGCACAGACATCTTTATAGGTATTAAAAGCTTTCAATACAACTATAACTCTATAGTAATAAATACTCTATATATGTTATACACTTGATATTTTTTTTTCTCTACCCAGGCCCATACGCGACATATTCAGATGCTCTATTTACTCTATAATTTGTTCTAATAAAGTATTACAACTTTTTATCTATTATTACCTATACCCCTTAGTCTATCCAAGCTTTAACATTTTTTTTTTAGTTTGTTACAGTATTGCTAATCCAGCCTCCTACTACAATATCAGGTAATTTCTTGTTAATTTAAATATAATTATGTAATTTTACTCTTTTATGCATACAATATACAATTATTTTGAGACATACATATATAGATTTAGAAAAAATATTTCTAATATTTCATTAGATTTAGAAAAAATATTTCTAATATTTCAGTATATTTAGAAAACAAATTTCTAATATTTCAGTAAATTTAAAAATATTTATTATTTTTATTTACAAATCATTTTTAAAAATAAATTTTTTAACCAAATTTGAAAAAGAGCATTGATTCTTTTGTATATTTCTTATATTTAAGAAGATTTAGAAAAATATTTTCAATATTTCAGTAGATTTAAAAAATTTTATTAATATTTCATTAGATTTAGAAAAATATTTCTAATATTTTATTAGATTTAGAAAAATATATCTAATATTTCATTAGATTTAGAAAAATATTTTTAATATTTCATTAGATTTAGAAAAATATTTCTAATATTTCATTAGATTTAGAAAAATATTTCTAATATTTCATTAGATTTAGAAAAATATTTCTAATATTTCAGTACAAGATGGTTTCCTGAAATCAAGAAGTACTCTTCCACCACACCTATCCTTATAGTTGGTATTAAACAATATTTTAAAGGAATTTTCAACGTAAATGTAAATTAAAGACTGCCAAACTTACAATTCCCAAGGTCATGTCGTTTGGAATGTCACCGAAAACTACGCTGACAAACCTAAAAGAATTTTAGACTTAAATTTAAGTGACTCTTCTTTTCACATTGTCACACCGGGCCCTGACAGCAAGGAACTGGTCAGAATTAAATACAGCTAGTTGGATAGTCGGATATATTTCATGTATTTCATACATTTCATACATTTCATATATTTCAAATATTTCAAATATTTCATATATCTTAAAGATTTCATATATTCTTTATATTTCACATATATTTCAAATATTTAAAGGGACTGTAAAGGAAAAATGAAAGGAGGTATAGGCTGAAACCTGAGAATCTCAGGAGTTGAACGATACATATAAGACTTCTATCTGATGTTCCTGTCTCGAGAAATTGATATTTCAAACTATGAATTCTGTTAGATCAAGTAATCTGAGTTTGAAATATCAAAGGTTTACAACATCGAGTTCTAAAGATATTGTGGTTTAAATATTTGATTTTGTTCCAAAGACTCAATTCCTTTATACGGAAATTCATATCTATGCAATATTGTTTGATATAGCGTGATTTAATACTTTTTTTTCTTTAACAAAGACTAAGGAATTGAGTCTTTGCCACAAACTCTGCTTTTCTAAACCCTATATCTTTGGATTCCAATGTCGTAGACCTTAGATATTTCAAACTATGAATTCTGTTAGATCAAATAATATAAGTTTGAAATATCAAAGATTTACGACATTGGGTTCTAAAGATATAGGGATTATAAATTCAGAGTTTGTGACAAAGACTCAATTCCTTTCTTTAACTTCTGTTCTCAAGCTAATTATAAGCATTAAACAGTAAAAATAGGTTTTATTATTCATTTTTTTCTGTTATTAAATCAGATAATGTTTATTGTAATTAAACATAAAAAATACAACTCCAGGCTCTAACGGGTGCTGAGCCACCCCCCTTGTAAAGAAAAAAAAAATGGTAAGCCCCCCCCCCTGGACAAATTCCCCAATACGTCCTTGGCATTGTTGTATAATGTATATCCCTTTTGAAGTGAAAAAAGAAAGAATCATATTGAATTCACAGTCTCTCGACACTTTAAACAGCTTTAAGGCTCTTTTTTTTCTCTTGATCTACACCCTTTGTTTCATAATGTTATTTAAAGCTGTATTTAGGAACTCAAGTAGATCTACGGAACGATGAAGCAACTCTTTTAAAACTGGCGAAACGAAAGGAAAAACCTATTAGCAATACATTAGGGAAAAATCTAGCAACGGTAAGTAGGATTAAAAATTTGTTTAAAAGACTGTACAGGGTACACGTAATTATAAGTGACCAACCATTTATTGAGTGGCATTTCAGATTCACAAAAATTCTCTTAAACTTTTGGAAGATCAAGAAAGAATGAGATATCGTTTTGTTTTAGATCAGCACTGATTATTTAAATTAAAGGATTACTGATGAAGAGTCACGTGCTTGATTGTCAGAATTAAACACGTTTTTCGATAGAGCAGGAACATTGTCTTTCTTAATTTGAAATATAATGGGTAGTGTGGGACATTTTACTCTTTATTTAAATTTTTTACAGTGAAAAATACAAAATGTATCTGTTATGGTTCTTATTAATGTTTTGTTTAGGAGCTTGGTGCTGCATATTGTGAATGCTCTGCTCTAACAAGGTATGTGCACGTATAGAGAGTAAATCTAAATATTATCAATACCTTGTCCGAAAGATTCTAAATTAATATTCAATTAAAGATTCTCCCAATATAATATCCTCTCAAATTTATACAATACAATTTAGTGACAAAGTTTATTCCACATTTGTCGTCGTATATATATCAATACAATGAAGACGACTTTCTATATAAGAGACATGTAAGCAAATAGAAGTTGTCAATTAAATTAACAGCTTATCCTTGTTTACTTGTAAACTTGTAATTTGAAAAATAGCTTGTTAGAGGTTAAAGCATTAATAAGAAAAATTCGTCTTCATTGTATTGATATAATCACCAACCACTGTATCTGAAATTTGTACGTCGTGGAGGGCTGGAGGCTAATCACAATTTTCCTGACACGAAGGCGAGCATAAAAATATGCAATTAAAAAATCTTTTGTTTATTCCTTTAAGTCTTTATTAAAAATTAAATGAAAAAGTCTTTCGCTGTATAGTAGATTGGTGCTATTCAAGTTTCGGCTTCAAGTTCAAACCTGAATTACATGAAACTTTTATTGAAGCCTTTTATTGGAGTTGATTTCAACAGATTATCTTACAAATTCATTCATTGTTAAAATATATTCATTTTGTCGTGTTCTAGAACAGGAATAAGAGAAGCGTTCACTGAAGCTATAGCAATAGCACTGGGTAGCGATGAACATTTATCAACCAAGAAAACATTGTGTTCAAAAATATGTTCTCTTTTTTAATAAATAATATTGTTAAAATGTGTCTTTATATCTAAATGAAATAAAACTCGAAGCCTTTACACAAAGTATTTAAAGATAAAAATAAAAATAGAATTCGGAAATCCTATAGAGTAAATATATATAGCGTCCCATATCATATTAGATTATCTCCAAGTTTTAACGCAAAAATAAACCCATAATACTCGAAAAATCTAGTATTAGCCTTATTCATTTTTTCAAAATTATTCTTTCTTCTTAAATTTTCTGATTAGTCCCAAAAATCGTAATTTAGACCCATTGACAAACTAATATGATGTAGGACACCATGTAGTAATCGGAAATCAGAAAAATGATTGTCGTCTTTTTTATTTCTTTAACATGCGAAATTTCACTAGATATTTTGTAAATATGATTTATGTCTAAATCATATCAGTTATAACAGCTGCAAATATGAGAATACTTTCATAATAATTTCATAATTAAAAGAAAGAACAACTAACGGCAATCACTTCACAGTTTTTACTTTAAAACTTTTAATTTTTTTTAAAGATAATTTTAATAAATAATTGAATAAAGCACAGCTCATCAATTTGGATTTGAGTATTTGACCGACGATTCTAAGCGATGAATAGTTTTTATAGAATTTTTGAATAAAAAAATCCAATATTACAAAGAGCGACCCTAAGGAAGATACCCCGGAAACATTTCTTTGTTTATAAAAATAGCTCAGGGACTAAATTTAATGAATACTGAGAAGTGGTTGAACTACACGTAGACAAAGTTGAACTGCAACTCTCTTGGTAGACAGTTCAGAAGAATTGGTTAAAATCAGTTATACGTATAGTCTAAACATTTTTCGCAATTTACTAGATTTAGTAAATACGTTTTTTGTATTCCTACCAAAACTGTACAGTAAACTATTTTGTAAACAAAGAAATGGTCATTTGGGCAAAACACTTTAACACTAATTTTCTAAAATTGTACCAAATGTTCCAAATATTTATTAATTTGACTTTATATTTTAATCAAGTTTTTTTTGTGCTTAATTTTAAGTTTTAAACATGAAAGATTTCATATTTAAGACGACATTTTAAACGGAACACCTTCAAGTCAAATCATTATCAAAACATGTCTCTCCTGCAGTAATATCTATTAACACAAACTAAATTAAAGAGTTTCCGTTCATTCGGCCCTGTTCATCCCACCCTCATGGGCTAATAGGAGAATTAACACAACTTGTTTTATTACTACGACAAATAATGTAGCTTTCATCAAAACTATTTTCTTTAGGTTAGGAAACATTTTAGTTCAAGTTTACAATTTTTGATATCATATATTTGAAAGCCAAATTTTGTAAGGAGTATCGCTAATCTTGAACACTTGATCTCGATATCCAGCGTGGGTATTTTTTTAATTTTAGGATCAATGCGTGATCCTTTAGTTGAAGTTTTGCCTGCGCTGGGTATGAACACAGCGGGATTTAAAAGAGGATTTAAAACAATGTGTGCTTAAGATTAAGATTAATACTTGATCCCGAGATTCCGTTTAATATTGCACTGAAATCTAGACAACTCTGAGTCTAAAACTAAATTATGCGGGAAATTTAAGTTATAGCTTAAAAGTTCTGAAAAATAATAAGTTGATACTTAAATATTTACCGTTCAAAATTCAATTTCTTCAAAAAACTGCAGCGCGAAAAACAACAGATATATTTCGTATTAGATAAGTACGATGTATTTATTTATTCCAGCTGACGGGAAAACATTTACATATTTAAATCGTTAGATTTAACCATTTTCATGCATTGGAATATCGCAAAATTGAATGCGGGCATTTTCGGGTTTAAAATTTAACTCGCCGAAATCGAGCTGTAGCTAAAAATACATGTTTAAATTAAGCCAGAATTGCGGCATTTAAGCTGATGCTTTACGTTTAAGCATAGATAGATAAATAAACAAAATGACCGCCAGGTTCAAAGTTGTTGCACTCAAAGCAAACATTTTTTTTTTTACTTACATATATATAGGATGTTCAAAAAAAATGTTTTTAAAATCTGCACTAGGTGTTAAATCAAAATTTTGACATTTGTAAAATAGCTAGCCTTTATTACAGTTTTTATTACTGTATACATGAAAAACACTTTATATAAGTATATAAATCAGCTTATTCTTCGACCACCAAAGTCCATGACTGCTTTAAGAAGTCTGTCTGCATGTTCAGTATGTTCCTCAAGTCTCTTAAACCTTGCCCATGTAGGTTTGAATTTTGCATGTATTGCTTCTCCAGTTTGTTCTGCAAAATTTGACAAACCACACGAATGGAATTCGACAAATGGTTCAACATGGCAGAGTAGTATATGCACTTTCCAAGTTATATTTAAATTAAATCCAAGCAAAGTAGCTAGTTCTTGACAGGACTTAAAGGAGTTTTTAAATCTAGCAAAACAGAATTTGTATCCAAATTCAAGTTTTTTTGAAAAACAAGCATCTTTAACATCTCGAAAGTCTTTCAAACATTGAACGAAGGGGACAAGATGAGGTTCAGTCTTTAGTAATTCCATTTCTAAGGAGTCCAAATTTTTCAATATCCTGTTGGAGTTATTGCCGTCCCATCCTCTCCCCTGGTATCCTCTTTGTAATATACACTTAGACTTTAACCAATCATCAAACCCACTTCAAATGTCCAAGATTAATGTTCCAAGAAGAGAAACTACTCCGATTAAAATATGAAGTTCTGGTGGAGGAACTAAATGTTCCATCAATGTGTTTGAGTCATCATTAAGATATAAAATTCGTGGATTTATACAGTTCATGTAGTATTGCATAGATGCTTTCTTTGAATTGTTCTCAAGATACTTCTGATGCCAAAGATCAAAACTTCCTAAGGTTCTCAGGGTTCCACTTTCCTCTGTGGACAATCCCTCACACCAGAGACATGCTCTTTTGCCAGAATGTGCTGACAATCCAAAAAGTGCGTTTCCACATTTTAAATCAAAAGCAACATAATACTTGAGATCCTGCAAGTTCAACTTTTCTAATATTAGTCTTAGATTTTGGTTTGATTCAGGAACATCTTCTACAATAGATAGAATTTGACTTCTCTGAACACCACTATTGATATACAGTCCATCATCCAAATCTTCATCAGGGGAAAATACATTAACTATTACTTTCATAAATCCACCGCCACCATCCAATGATAGGCGCACAAAGGCAGATAAAGGTTCTAAACCACGTTGCTTAATGAGTTCTAGAATGAAGGATGATGTATCTTGCACATAAACTAAATCCTTTGTTAGAACAGCATCATTACTGGTAAGAAACTCAACCTAGGACAATTCAATTTTCAAAAATGATAATAATAATAGCAAAATAATTAGTTTTAACATCCAGGAAATTATTTTTTTTTAAAAAGCTTGCTATGAATTGGTGGTTTTAGTAATTACAAAACTAATCTGATAAATGAACACAAAAGTTAACATGTAGAATTTACTTGCTTTTATATTCAAGTATTTAGTTTGTAATTTGGTATTAAAGAAAATTGAAATGCAATGTTTGTTCACACTGTTATAAAAAGATATCATTGAAGAATTGACGAATTGAATTTACTCTCAAATTAAATGTTAAAATTTTTGCTCTGTACTGAAAAGAAAAAAAAAATGAGCTGCATCAATATTGCAATGGTGACAAAGATGTTATTAACCAACCTTTTCTACATGATAGAAATGTGAAATTGATTCTTGTAGATCATTTAGTTTTCCAAAAATATTCTTCTCAATGGATGAAGTACTGCCGAGTCCTCTTCTCAGGGATGAAACAAGAACCTTTGTCTTATTCACAGACAACTCCAATAAAACTTGAAGTTCTTGTATAACTTGTAATGATATTTGCTTAACAGTTCTTCTGTCTGATTTCTTATCTGGAGTTCCCACTCTGATTTGAAGTGGAGTTCCACCTGTAGATAACAAAAAGGTAGATCCATCTAAAAGGTTTTCTTCTTCCATTTTTTTCTTAATAATTTTAGATGATATTTGCTCAGCTTGTAGAGATCCAAGAGCAAAAGCCATCAAAACTAAATTGCTCACAGCAGTAGATGATACACAATTGTGATTTTTTCCTGGCTCCAACAAAGTGTAGCATGCTTTGCACAAACGACCATTTTCAGTTTGATCTCCTGGTTTGGATGGTGATGGAGTATCTGGAACCATAGTAGATCCTCTTGTTATTGTCTTCCATTCAACCTAGATTATTTGTTTTCTATTCATTATTGGAATTGGAACTTCTCTGACCAAAGTTGAATTTATGTTTAGATAAAATAGGCTTGATAAATCTTTATATAGTAGAGATATTTAAACATGGTTCTAATAATCACCTTAGAAATCTTCTCTCCCCAGGCTCCAGAGGGAAAACCTCCTGCTTTCAACCTGTACAGGTTTCTCCTACATCCAGAGCAAACTACGTCTGGATAATGCTTGATAGTAGAAGAATATCCAGGGAAAATGAAGGTTTTAATTTGCTCTTCTATTGCTTCATTAACAGAATATAAAGCTTTAGACCTAGAACCAAGCCTCTCCCAACAGCAAGCACAAATAGAACTTCGTTCAAACTCCATTTATGTATGTGTGATGATAATTGTTTAAACTGTACTGTTTAGTAATTTTGAATTTTGGTGGATTTTCTGCCATATTTTCGCGGATTTTTTCTAAATTCTACAACAAAAACTAACAATTTTAATCAACTTTAAATCAATTTTAAATCATGAAATTAAGATACTTAACACGCAGTGCAGATTTTAAAAACATTTTTTTTGAACATCCTATATATATGTAAGTAAAAAAAATAATGTTTGGCTTGAGTGCAACAACTTTGAACCTGGCGGTCACTCTGGTCCAGTGTAGCTTATGTACGCAAAATCACCAAGAATTGTACAGTCCGCGAACTAATACTTCTAGGGGTCAAAGTGTACTTCAATGATAAGCGGGGTGGTTGGGTGTTTTAATGGATTTCATAATAGAGTGTAAAATAACTCCGGGAATGGAACTATTTGAACAACAATATTTCACTAAGCAATATATCATATTGACGAGAACTGAAGAAGGACATGAGGAGGACTAAACCAACTTAAATTTCTCTTTACAGAACTCATGTACACCATAAGTACTCAATGACATAAGAACAGCCAATGTTCATAACCGACCTAGTTAATCTATATAATAGGAATATCTTTAAAACATCTCTCTACATTTATATCTTTCAAGATGAAAAATGTCGTCTTCAATCTATCTTTATCTATGCATTTAAGTCGTAACTTTTAGGTATTTAGTTTTGGACTCTGGAAGTTATTCATAAAATTCGACTTTAAAGTCTCGCACCGTCTTTTCTGCTTTGACTTTAGTTTTACCTTTTACCTCACCATATCATATATTTATTTAACCCTAGACATAGACTTTTTAAAATTTTAAAATTGCAACGCTCTTGTTTCAAGCTTAGGAAAAGCTTGCAAATACTTCTTGATTTTTGCATATTTAGTGTGTACATCTTGGTTCGTAATGATTAATTGAATGATATATAAGCTTAAATCTGGGTATTAGTACTGATATATATCGAATTGGATTCTGTATAGAGCCTAGCAATACCCCGTTTTAGTTTTCGTGGACATTCCTTAAATAGATTAATATTTAATTCTTTTGTTTAATGTATTAAAGAACTCGGATTCTGAAAACCAAAGGATTTGGTAGAATTTAATTAATTAACGGTGACAGACGCAGTGGCACTTGGCAGTTAAAGAGAATCTTAATTCTTGACATTTCAGTAATTAAATATAATCTAATACAGGGTGTCCAAACATAACATGAAAATTCAGTGGCGGTTTTATGATTGTCTTTATAAATTTTTTTTTGATTTAGCATCATGATGTCTGCTAGTACTATGATTTAGCATGATGATGCCTACTAGTACTATATTATAGGAAAGCTGTGATCCAGACATGTTTCATTTGCTAGAGTTAAGAATTTGCTTGTTTATGTTTTGATTGCATACTGTTGTACATAAACAAACACAGTACACTTGTTCCTCTTCACTGTTTATCTTGCAGAAATGTTGCTGAACATAATACAACGTTTTGCAAAATACCCAAATTGGCTTTTACCATTTCCATAAAAATATACTCTAGCAGACATAAACTTTTTTTTACAATTTAAATTGGGCAGTACAACGATCAAATTCCCATGTTTATTGGAACACCCTGTGTATAACTGTAACATTTATGAAACTTCAGATTACAATTTTAAATTTTCATTCTTATTTAGATTTTATGTTTTATTTCTCTTAAAAGATTAAACACTACAATTTTGATATTTTTATAAAAAAACTTTTTTTTTCATTATATATTAATTAGGAGTATTTCTACAGCCATATTATCAAAAATGATTTAATTAGCCATACTAATTACTTTACTCATTAGTAAACAGAGGTAATTTGCATAAAGTTTGTGAAAGAAATTAGCATTTTCATAAATGTGTGTAATTTCTGCCTATTTTCTATATTTGTTATTTTTTCAAAATGTTGGTGAATTTAATTAAGTTTGTAGATTTTGATAAGGGGGGNTGTAGTACACCCTGTAGTACACCCTGTAGTACACCCTGTAGTACACCCTGTAGTACACCCTGTAGTACACCCTGTAGTACACCCTGTAGTACACCCTGTAGTACACCCTGTAGTACACCTTGTAGTACACCCTGTAGTACACCCTGTAGTACACCTTGTAGTACACACTGTATTACACCCTGTAGTACACCCCGTACTACATCTTGTAGAACACACTGTATTACAATCTGTAGTACACACTGTATTACACCCTGTATTACACCCTGTACTGTAGTACACCCTGTAGTACACCCTGTAGTACACCCTGTAGAACACACTGTATTACAATCTGTAGTACACACTGTATTACACCCTGTATTACACCCTGTACTGTAGTACACCCTGTGTGTTCTCTAAATCTGTAAATCTCTGCATAATTCTAATCTACTGAAAGCTTTGTCTGTATATAATATGTAATGCTGTAAACACACAAATCAAAGCAATTCAAACAAACAAACAGATAAACAGGACTAACAGACAAAAACATTAGAAAACTGATTTTTTAAGTACCTTGAAATTGCATTTTTACAGTTTTTTAAATTCACCCAATTAAAAATCAAAACCATCAAAGTATTAAATTCAATTTTCTACTTTCATATTTGATCAGAAAGAGGATTATATATTTCAAAATTAAAATTACCATAACAATATTGAAACTTGTTAAAACATATTCTTTTAATGTTTTATTTGTTCGCATGAGTAAGAGGTAAAGTCGAAGAAACAACGAAAGTTTCAATTTATGTCTTTGCTTCTTTTTAAGAATTAATCACAGCATCCATTAATGCAGAAATTAAATAATTTTCTCTCTAATGATTTCCAAAAAAAGCAAGAATTAAAACTAAACAATATCTAGCGGAGAGAAGTTTTATTTGAAAACTTTCAACATCTATTCTGTCTAGTTCAATAATAAATGTTCAAAGTATTCTAATTTCTAAACATTAACCCTGTCTCCGGTCCAGCAATCACATTTCCTCTTTCAATTCTCTTCATCCTCCTCATCCTCCTCATCCTCCTCATCCTCCTCATCCTCCTCATCCTCCTCATCCTCCTCATCCTCCTCATCCTACTCATCCTCCTCCTCATCCTCCTCATTTTCCTCATCCTCCTCATCCTCTTCACTCTCTTCATTCTTTTCATTCTCTTCATCCTCTTCATCCTCTTCATCATTCAGAAACCTCCTCATTTTCCTCATCCTCCTCATCCTCTTCACTCTCTTCATTCTTTTCATTCTCTTCATCCTCTTCATCCTCTTCATCATCTTCATACTCTTCATCCTCTTCTTCCTCTTAATCCTCTTCATCCTCTTCATCCCCTTCTTTCTCTTCCTTTTCTTTATCCTCTTCATCCTCTTTATACCCTTCATTCTCTTCATCTTCTTCATCCTCTTCATCCTCTTCATCCTCCTCATCCTCTTCATTCTCTTTATTCTCTTTATTCTCTTCATCCTCTTCATTTTCTTCATCCACTTCTTCCTCCTCATTCTCTTCATTCTCTTTATTCTCCTCATCCTCTTCATTCTCTCCATTTTCTTTATCCTCTTTATTCTCTTTATTCTCTTTATCCTCTTTATTCTCTTTTATTTTTATATGTTGATGTTTTCTTTTAATACTGAAAATCACGAAACCTCACTTAATATTGAAAAACCTACATACTTAAAGGCCGGCCAGAGTTAAAGGGACTGTTAATATAATTTCAAGTGACCCTCCATGTAAAGAATAGCATATTTGACTCAAACCGCTGTCTTAGGAACAATCAGAAATTTTACTCGTTTTTTTAAAGTGTTGAATTTCACTATTTTTATTCCTTATCTCTCACAAAGTTCGCATAATAACTTTAATAGAAAAACCGCAAACTAAAAACTATAAATTTTAATGCCGAATTTCTTTACATTGGAATATCTTTACATTGAAATCTTTAAGTCTGCTGGATTGTGATATATATTAGAAGATGTGATGAGCTAGATATATATAAAGATTAAGAGTTAGTTAGATAGCTAAAGATTGTGATAGATAAATAAAACTTCTTATGAACCCTCTATTGTGTAGTAAAGATCAACGGGGCTTAGCCATCAGAGTGTTGAAGGATAATTTCAGACATCTTATTATTTTTATTTTCAGCGCCTCCTACACCTCTACCAGCGCCTTCTACACCTCTACCAGCGCCTCCAACACCCCTATCCCTTAACTCCTCTCCCCCCTTCTTCCCCTTCCAGCTTGCTCCATATTTTACTCCAGAATTATTCCCCATAAAGAAGAGCTTGTCCAATTGAACGACATATTTTTCTAAACATTTAGGAAATTCCCCGCGAAGCTCAGCCTCTCGTCTTTCTTCTTAAAATTCATCATATTCAGTTTTAAATTCTCACACTTCTTTTTAACTTGGTTTAGGATCATTAATTCAGAAAAGTTGACGACCACCTTCATATTTTATGGACCCTATTATCATAGCACACTTTACAAGTTTTCTTCAATATTTTATGCAAAAACATGATGAAAATAAGTTTCGTTTCTGCACATGAATGTTTTTGTTATCTCCTCTCTTTTATAAACGTTCAAATATTCTGCAAGGCCCATTAAACGGTCAAGGCTGGCTGACAGAAAATTCGCAACTTGAAAAGTTACAAACCCGGGAAGTTTTGCTGCTTGTTCTGCAGATTTTCCTAGTTTACGATATTGGACGTGTTAGTAATTCACCAGAGCAGTTTTTACATCCATATCAATATCTCATGTTCAAACTTTAAAGAGAAGGTTTCCAACTTTAAAGCATAAAAAAAAATGAAATAAATCTATTATAACCTTTTATGAAGCGAAAAAATTAATTATTTTACCAACAACTTATTGGTATTTAGTTTTAATATTTGAAAATGTAGGACTCAAACCATGTATATATAGAACATGAAATTTAACAGTAAATTCATTTCGTTACTTTTTTGGTATTTAGTTTTAATATTTGAAAATGTAGGACTCAAACCATGTATAGAACATGAAATTT